ATACAGTATATCCACTTGCTACTTTGTGTAATAAACCCTCATCTGCCAGCCTGGTCTCACTCAATGCAGCAATGTCAGTGCTGTAACAGCAAAGATCGGCTATTGTGAGTGTTGTTCATCTTTCAGGCCTTGACACCTTGTCTCTATCCAGCAAGGTGCAGACTTCCAGGCTCCAAAAATGAGATTTCTTTGATTCATTTTTCTTAATGCTCAACCACTAAGGAGATGATCTGCCAATCGCAGTTAGCTAGCCAAATATTCTGGGGCAGACAAAGTTTAGGGTACCTTTTTCTAACCCCCTCCCTCATGTGAGGGTGGGTAGTATCCTAGAAAGGGTGCCCAGCTGCCCTGCATCCTGCCAGACATCTCTCCTGCCCCGAATATTGAAATGAACAACCACTGGTCCAAGGCCGCCCGCGTGCATGTTTGTGACTACAACTGCCAGCAGTCATCTCCACCTGTTGCTTTGCCACTCCTCCATCACTGCAGGGCTCAATAAATTAGGTTTGGACCAAGATGATTTGCAGATGAGTTGTAGATGAAGATGAATTGCACAACAGAAACCTGTGCGTGACGGAGTTTTCAGTGGAACAGCTGTTACACAGGGGCAGTCCCACTGTCTTGGCATAAGAGACCTTAATCCAGTGGCACAGAGAACCGTTACAGCTGGAGACTTCTCCTGCTGCAATAGATGACCAGGATATCTAAGTGTCTTGTTGTGCTCTTAGTGCTCCACAACACTTGCTGGGCCTGCCTTCTTAATTGTTGGACTGTTGATCAGTCTGCTCTGCTCAATCTGCCAGGGCCAGACTTCACACACAGGGATAGACAAATACCCTATCACACCAAGAGTTGAAGATCCATCAGCTACCCTCACCTGGTTTGGCCTGCCTGCCAAGACCATTTACCGGGGTGTGGCTGCTGCACGTGTTAACAGCTACTTAGAGCCACAGATGAGAGTTGAGCGGCAGGTGGGGACCAAAGGTGGACGAGCAGCCATAGAAAGGGCATGACAGGCCCCTCCCTACATAGTTTCATGTGGATGTTGAAAAGGAGAGGAGAGAGAGAGTAGAACCCTGTAGCATCCACACAGGAGGGATCTAGGGAGTGATCTCCCCCCTGCCAACCTATACCAACTAGTCCCAGACAAAGGAAGAGAATCACCATAAAATGGTACCCCAATGACCAACACACAGAGCTAGCTCAGAAGGATACCATGGTTGACAGTATCAAAAGCTGCTGAGAGATCAAGGAGCAAAGGATGGATGCATCAGTGCCATCCCAGCTCTGTCACAAGTCTTTGACAAGTGTGACCAAGGCTGTCTCAGTCCTGAATCCCAGTCTGAAACCTGATTGAAATGGGTCTAGATAATCTGTTTCCTCCAGGTTTCTCATCAGCTACAGACCAACTTCTCAACAACCTTCCTCAAAAAGAGAAGGTTGGAGACTGGTTGGTAGTTGTCAAAAACTGATGGGTCCAAGGATGACCTCTTGAGGAGGGGTGCACCACTGCCTCTTTCAAGCCAGCAAATACCACCCACTCCCTCAGAGAAGTTGACACCATAGCATGGACTCAACCATGGGGCACCTTAGACACTTTTACAATCCAGGAGGAGCCTGGATCCAATAAACAGGTGTCTGAGCCTGTAATTTTCAAGAACCTGTAGTTCTGGAAAATATAGATCTGTTACGACCTTTTAGTAACATCATTCTTGGGGTACTAACATTCTAATCTAAAAATACTTTACATAGTTTTCAGTTTCTTCTTTTTGACATTCAAAGCTTAGGAAAAACATTTGCATCAGGAAGGGCTTGCTGAAGCAGAACTGTTTTAAAACTACATGAACCTTCTTACCTTCATTTAGGCAGATGTTCAAAATACTCTTTTCTATTTGGTGTTTCTATGGTTACAGCTGTACAGCAGTGGGTTGTTTCTTTCTTGGAATCCTTTTTTCCAAGTCATATAAAATAGCTGGAAAATATTTGGTAAGTTGTAGAGGATGGAGAGTAAAAAACAAATAGCTTGGTAATTAAAATGCTTTATTGATGTTTCCTTCTTCAGCGAAGCTTTGAGTGGGATGGCTGATTAGCAGAGCCAGGAATCTATAATTACAGTTTGAACTCTTATTTTTAGTATGCAGGTTTTCAGCATGGCTGGTTGGGAAGCTTTTTATTCCCATTAGTCATTGAATTGAGCATGTTGAGCATGACTGATTGTCCTCTCTCCCTCTCTCCTTCTCTCCCTCTCTCCCTTCCTCCCTCTCTCTCTCCCTCTCAACTGTAGATTAACAAATCCCACTGTAAATTCCATTAATTTTAGTCATGATCGGTATCACTGTGTTTGGGGCATGGCCATACTTTTCTTTTTCATCATCCTTGTACTTCTTGGTAAAAGAGAGAATTGAGGTGTAAATAACCATTGAAAATACTGCAAGGAAGCAATAGGAAGCACTTTCCAGGTTCCACCAAAAAAAACCTCTTACCTCTACAGCAGATGTCAGCAACATGATGCATATTAGTCCCTCTTGGCCCCTGGATATTTTTGTGACCTGGAAAAGGTCCTTGCCCTATCTGACTTAAAAAAAAAAAATGGAAGTGAATGAGGAAACGCCATTCATTCCGGCAGGGCATGTTCAACCCTTCCATCATTCACTCAACCATTTATCCAAGCCTGTGGTGCAATTATGCAAAATCCACATTCACCCAATACACATATCCCAGTTGCTTGAACAGACAGACAAGAGAATTCATAATGACAACAAAATCCAAACCTCAAGGGTGAGGGAGGAAGAAACTTACCTGGGCTTGCCAATAGATTCTCCTCAGTGCTTCTCTTGTTGGCAAAAAAAAAAAAAACTTTGTCTGGAGACAACGGGCAAGGGGACATCTGGAAAATGTTGTCAACTAGTAAAGCTGCGGATACAGATGGCCTAACTGGAGAAATACTGTAATATTAATATGGTTGCTTATGAAGTGACGGTGCAAATTATTAAACATGTATGTAAAAACAAGATATGTGCCTGGTAAGTGAAAGAAAGTTTTTATTGTCCTCTTACAGAAAGAAAGTTTTTATTGTTCTCTTAAAGAAAAAGTAAAGCAACAAAAGTGAATAAAAAAAAAAAAAAACCACCCTGTAGGAAGATGAGTTTGCTGGGAAGAAGAGGGTTGACAGAATTCTGATTGAAAGGGAAGAGGAGATAACAACCACCAAAGTGTCCTGCAGCTTTATGCTAAGCAGGGGGTGTGTAGACCATAGTTTTCTTCAGTCATTGAGAAATATATGAAATGAGAAATATTGTTTATTGTATATTTGTTCATTTAAAGAAAGCATATCAGAAAGTGAATTATAGAATATTTTATATGAATATGGGATTGAATATTGGTTGTTGAATGTGATAGCTGAGTTTCTGATAGAAAGCATGTGAGAATAAATAAAGCAAGATTATTGTATGCACAAAGATGGAAAGATTCAGCACTACCCACAATGGTTGGTGAAGATGACGGAACTTGCTGAGATGGTTAAATTGACATCTTTGATCAGAGAAAAGACAATATCTATGTTTATTGCTGACTGGAAACCCTTTATAGACTTTTTGTGTGAAACAGAAAAAAATGAATTTATGATTTATGGTTTTGATGATTAGACAGAATAGATTATAAAGAGTTATGTTGTAACCATAACTAAGAGGTAAATTTATAATTGTACTAATAACTACTGTAAAAAAGATCAGAAACTACTTCTTTGTATCCTTTTTCTTTCTTTTCTATTTTTCTTTTATTTTTCTTTTTTCATTTCTTGCACTTTTAGCTTTCTCTTTGATTTCTTTCTTTTTCTTTTTCTCACTTTATATTACTTTGTATTAGTTTTTATCTTCTTTTTTAAAAAATCTTTAATAAAAATAATTATACAAAAAAAAAAGAATAAATGGGATGCTTAGTGAACAGTTCAACACAGAGCAGGGAGTATGACAAAGAAGTGTGATGTCCTCTTGGCTGTTTAGTATAATTATGGGTAAATGTATAAGAGATGCTAATGGTGACTTTAGAGATGTGTTAGCTCTGAATCCGAATGAGTTGCAGCAAATGTTAGAATATATGATGCAGTGTGGAATATGGAACTAAAAATTAAGGTAGCAAAGACCAAGGTAGTTGTGTTTGACAGGGAAAATGGACTGAGCTGTTGCAAATTACACCTAAATAACAAAAATTAGAGTGAGCCGGTGAACTTGTGTGCCTTGGTAGAATGTTCATTAAAGATGAGAAAAATGGATGAAGAAATCTTAAGGCATGCAAATGCTGTTAGAAAGATGGTAGGTAGAATGTTTCTTCAAACACAATATGTTTCCTGTGTTTGTAAAAAGAGATCTTTGTAGACAGAAGCAAAAAATGGCCACATACTGTATAACAGCATGCTTTTACTTTTATGAGAGTAAAAGTTGGGTATGTCACAAGAAACATAAAAATACATTGAATGCAGAAGGAATGGGATGCTTAAAAGGTACATATGATAAAACAAGAAAGAATGTGGTCAAGAATAAATGGGTGCTGTATGAATGTGGACTGAATACAAAAGTGACCTGTAGAAAAGGCATATATTGAGTTACTTTGGTCACACAGAATAAAAGAGGATGAAATTGCAAAACAAATATAGGAAGTAATAGTGAATGGATTAAGAGGAAGGGGAAGACAAAGAAAGTCATGGTCAGACAGAGTTGATGAGATCCTCAGAAAGAAGGAATTGAAAAGTTAAAAGATCAAAAAGAAATGTATAAAGCAATTATATGGGGTAAATGACAATGGTTTGCAAAAATAAAAAGATATAGAATGGTATAGTGAATTGTGTTGGCATAAACGAGATTTAGCTGCATTTCTTTTTCCTACCTCATACATTTAAGTTTGCTTATCTCAAAAAGGCATAACATGATTGGTATGTATGGCTTTTAATTCATTTGGTCAAAAGAAATCTGAGCATAACATATTTTCTTTTTTATTTCTTCTAGTGACAGTCCTAGCTATTTTTCATGAGCTTCATGTTGATACAGATCTTTATACTCTCCTTTTTGGAGAAAGTGTCCTTAATGATGCTGTGGCTATAGTTCTCACATAGTAAGTGCAAAGTTTCTTTTGTTAAATCAATGGCTGATGTTTCTTAGCGTTTCTGAATTACACTTTTCCTATACATTTAAAAAGAGAAATTTCAGTTGTTGCTAAAAAGTTACTCATATATTAACATTCACTATTTGTATATGGTGCCTTTAAAGTAATGGTTTTATTTCAACTCTTCAAACATTAAAACATTTATCTAAGCTTAATATTTATCTGCACTGATTCATAATTGGCCATGCACTCAAATTTCCACGGAGTACCTACAAAATAGGATGCATTGTTTTATTTTAAATGCATAAGTAGGTGCACAATTAGACCATTAAACTAATTGTGAAATGCACTGGTGAAAGCTACTTCATCATGAAAATCAGTGGATCAAAGTGAATGGGGCTAAATAAAACATGATTGCTTCTGGTTGAATATTATCTTGAATACTTTGAAGCACATTCACACATTTGTTTAAATATTTATTTATTTATTATTTATTTATTTATTAAAAGTATATGCCGCCCATCTCCCCCTGTGGGCGACTCTGGGCAACTCACAATAAAAATCCAAAGCAGTAAAAACAATGAAAATATAAATATCGGCAACTCACAATAAAAATCCAAAGCAGTAAAAACAATGAAAATATAAATATCGGCAACTCACAATAAAAATCCAAAGCAGTAAAAACAATGAAAATATAAATATCGGCAACTCACAATAAAAATCCAAAGCAGTAAAAACAATGAAAATATAAATATCGGCAACTCACAATAAAAATCCAAAGCAGTAAAAACAATGAAAATATAAATATCGGCAACTCACAATAAAAATCCAAAGCAGTAAAAACAATGAAAATATAAATATCCATATTAAAATTACCTAATAACAATTCTATATAAAAAGACTATATACAATTCAAGTTGATCGGGTGGAGCAGTATCAATGATCCTACCACCCAATTCCAACAATGTGTAGTAAAGGAATGTATTTACTTTACTAAGCCTTTATATATAAAACCATTCCTTATAGTCATTATACCTGAGTTCACACAATGGGTTAAGCTATATTTATTGTGATTTGTTTTAGTGTATTGAATTATCTATCCATTTTTATTTTATTTGTTTGTTGTTAAACAACTATGGCTAGGTATAATGTGTGATCCCAGCCATAGTGTGTGTACTTATGGCTGTATGTGTTTTTTGGGAGATTTAAATAACAGTATTATAATATTGCAACAGAAAATGAGGATTTCATGCTAACAGTTTTATTTGGCCTATGAGTAGTCCAATGCTGACTAGAATACAATCTCCAGATATCTTGTTCTCTTGGGATGTTTTCTCCCTTCCATGTATAGGCATCCACAGGACAGGGGGCAAGGGATGTTGGCTCTATTGATACAATCACACAGATAACACAAATTACATGCTTGCATCACTTTGTATCATGTTTTAACATAAAATTATGAAAGTATATAATTCACATCATTGGTATGGTGATGTCAGTTATGGATATTTTGAGGCCATCATTTGTTGTTGTTGTTCAGTTGTTAAGTCGTGTCCAACTCTTCGTGACCCCATGAACCAT